TGAACCCTACATATATATAGTATGTTTTTCCTCTACGTACATATTTATAATGTAGTTTAATTTATAAATTATATACAGTAAGAGATTAATAATAACTAATAAAATAGAACTAATTATAGCAATATACTGTAATAAAAATTGTGTGAATGTGGTCTCTCTCTCTCTGTCAGCATGTCTTATCGTACTGTACTCACCTTTATTCTTATGTTGATGTGAGATGACAAAATGCCTGTATGATGAGATGAAGTGAGGTGGATGACGTAGGCTTTGTGACATAGCATTAGGCTACCGTTGACCTTCTGACGGTATGTCAGAAGAAGGATCACTTGCTTTGGGTGATCCTGGATCACTGAGCTGTGACAAAGTTGATGGTTGTATGTAAGGAGCAGATGACATTGATGACAAGCTGTCGGGTAGTACATATAGTGTGGATATACTGGACAAAGGGTTGATTCATGTCTTGGGTGAGAAGGAGTAGGAGAGTGTGAGATTTCATCATGATACTNGCAGGTAACTGAAATTGTGGAAAGCAAAACTGCAGATAAGGGAGGGGACGACTGTAACAGCTCTGAAAACTTCTTCAGTAAACAAACTTGATTGACTAGGTGATTCCTTTCCAAACTTATCTGACAATATCACCTATTAATGGCCATGGAACTAGTGTTCTGTAGAATTTGACAATACAAGGGTATTTCAGAAAGTTTGTGTAAAGATTCATATTAAACTTTTAATTCTATTTTTCCACAGTCTTTGAAGTACCCTTGTATCACCTATTAATGGTCATGGAACTAGTGTTCTGTAGAATTTACTTTGTGAAAGATGAGGCTAATGGAACAAATATTGAGAAAGATAGCCTAGCCATGCTTTCTCAAACATGAAGTTTTTCAAACTCATGTCACTGTTTCTCCTGCAGGCAAACAACCTTCAGAAAGGAAAAAGAACAGGAGCAGACTCGAAAAAGTGGTAGACATAACTTGCATGGATAAAAATTTTGAAATTGATATTAGTTTTTTTACTCTAAAAATTATTTCAGTAGATCTCTTCTCCAGAACCATGATTTCTGCAACTGTATCGGCATGGTTTAGGGAAGATGACTCTGGAGTTAGGACATAAGAGTTTTAGCTTAAGGTTTGCCACCAGTTGGCAAATCTCGTATGTTTCTAGATTTCAGTTTGCACACTTATAAGTTAAAGATGCTGGATTAGATGAACTGCAATATTTTATCCAATCCTAAAATTCAATGAAATTTTAAGATTTGAAGGTTATTTTAAAAACCTTTAAGCTTTGACATTTGGATGAATCCGTTAGAATATATCCTACGGAAGCGCCGGCCCGTGGCTCACTCGGGAGAGTGTGGTGCTGATAACACCAAGGCCACGGGTTCATATCCTATATAGGGATGGCCGGTTCGCTCACTGGCTGAGCGTGGTGCTGACAACACCAAGCC